CGGATAAATCAGGAGAATCGTTGTGGGAAGCCAAAGGTCAAAGGATGCCAGAAATCAGAATCAACTAAACAACAAGCCGGGGTCAAGAGATACACTGGATAACAGGAGACAGCGAACCGATAACCAGAGTCAAGGAACTGACACTGCCTTCTGGGAGAGGCAGTGTTTTATACCTGGCTAACGAGACTATCCACAACAGGTGTACCGGGAATAATTCCAATTAATGGCTCTCTGTGAAGGCGCAGCACTTGGACGCTGCGCCCCTAAGCTCCTCCTCCATGCTCCGGAACCTGACCTGGCAGCTGCAGCGGCTCAGCTCGCCTCACACAATCTCGGGCCGGCCTGCTAAGCCTGTGAGAGACCGACTGCGAGCCTGTTGCCATGGCGCCCTGTGCGGCCACACAGCTCGCACACCCCAAAGGTTGGCCCTGGACATACACTGCATTCACACAAACACATTCTGCATTCATTATACACACTACACACACACACACACTGCATTCATTAACTACACACACACTGCATGCATTATATACACACACTGTAAATAAATATTCAATTAATGCAATTTTATTGGGGTCTAATTTTATTTAGAAATTTACCAGTAACTGCATTTCCCACCATAGGTTTATACTCGAGTCAATAAGTGTTCCCAGTTTTTTTGTGGTAAAATTAGATGCCTCAGCTTATATTCGGGTTGGCTTATACTCGAGTATATACGGTAATTAATAGATATTTTTTCAACAAATAGTAAAAAATTAAGGTAGTTTTTAACAGTAATGGTATATTTCAGACATCACTTTTTGATTTATGTATTGATGCTACTGTAACTCTTTGCTATAGCTTCTTGACTATAACTTACATTTTACTACATTCTGGATGAAGTTTAAATGCATTAACAGCAGATGTCAGTATTGATTAGTATTTGTTGTAGATAACAGCAATTTCCAATGACAATTACAATTTGTTCACTTTGATTTAGTCCACCATTGGCTCTGTAAAATATGTTGATTTGAATGTTTCATCTGTTTACGTGGGTGTAAAAATAACAGCATCGTTACGGAGGTTTCCTAAGTCTAAAAATAATTAAAATATTTAGTTGAATATTTAATACATTTTTTGTAAATCTGATCTAAATGAGGAAAGTGTCAGAAAACAGACATAACAAAAATTAATGTTGAGTTGGCATTGAAAGTTGGTTTGAGCATTGCATGTTATTTAATAAATCAGCTCTTACTAATAACTCACAAACTATACCGTCGTTCAAGTTAATCTTAGCAAGTGCTTTTTTATTTGTTATTTTGTAACTTGTTCACCTTTCCTGCTCCACACAATGTCTTTGAAAGAAATTATGACCGATAGAGTTGTTAGTGCATTAAACTCCAATTTCTAGTTTATCTAGATATCAACCTGTTCTGTTTTTAAAACACTAATAAGCAACTAAAATAAAACAATAAACAATATGTTCAGAAAAGGGCAGTAAGAAAATTCATGTATAAACATTTTAAAATATTTATTGAAATATGAGCAAAAATTAAAAATGCAAGCAGTAGAGTATTTATTAAAGTACCGTATATACTAGAGTAACTCTTGCACATTTTTTGTGCTGAAAAAGCCCCACTCGGCTTATACTCGAGTCAGTGTCTGTATTATGGCAAGTTACATTGCCATAATACAGACCAGGACCACCGGGCTCATTACAAGCCAGGCGGTCCTGTTGGAGGCCAAAGCAAGCTGTTACTTACCTTTACAGCAGCTCCGTTCACCTCCCCCGTTCAGCTCCATGTGTAAATCTCGGGAGACCCGCGGCCGTCAGAGCATGTGGCAGCGCTCCGCACGGCACACAGACCGCATGATTTACACAAGGAGCTGAACGGTAAAAGGAGATGCAGGAAAAGTAAGTAACAGCTCGCTCCCGGCCCCCCCCCCTGCATAGTACACACCACTGGACCACCAGGGATTTACATAGCCCCCTCCCTGGCCAGGTAACAAGCAGGGAGGGGGGACATAAAAATAAAATTAAACGTAAATATTAAAATAATAAAAATATTAAAATAATAAATAATGCCCTCTCCCCACCCAGTTTATGTATATCACACACTACACACAGACACACACACACACACTGCATTCATACAAACACACTGCATTATATACACACACACTGCATTATATACAGACACCGCATTCACACACACACACTCTGCATCATATACACGGGGTTGGCTTATACTCGAGTATATAGTGGCCTCTGCTTATATTCGGGTTGGCTTATACTCGAGTATATACGGTATAAATGCTTGTCGTATGAATTCAAAATCCTAGGCTAATAAGAAAACAAAACATGCTCCGTAAGATAAGAAAATATTTTGGCTTCTTACTAGGCGATTATGACTTCCAGGCACCTAGAGAAGATTTTCAAAGCTGACTGACCTTGTATTCACTAAACTAATTGCAAATGTTTATATACATCATCGGTACAAGTGTGTGAAAGTGTTCCGCTGGCAGAGAAAGGAAAATAACAGTGAACTGATACAATTCTAGTTCGAATTAACCATGTCATGCCAAAATGCATATAACAATCTCCTATATTCACATCACTCAGAAATTGCTTTTGATAACGGCGTTGTAGCGGAGATGCAATATTACCCAGGTTATCTCCGCTTATAATCCAAGTGGGACTCAGGAACAAGTAAATAGTAAATCCACAGGCAAGGCTTCCAGCAGGTAAAAATACAGCAATATCCCCACAGCAATCCCAATAACTGGACGACACACAGTTTCAGGAGCATAACTGAAAGCTTTAATCCACAGTCTCCTTTTAAAGCATGCTCCCATGCAAGGGAGGGATTTACAATAATTATTACAGTAGCCAATCCTGTCCTGGTAACCTCCCACACATCTCCTCCCCTCAGCCAGCATCATAATCCCCTTATCCAGTACAGTAATTCCCCCCGCTTCTGGATGTACCCCTAAACGTAGGGGTACCTCTTTAAATCCTACATCCCCAGATACCCCTGATCTGGGTGAACAACATATCCAAAAATCACCCAGATCAGACCAGGGGTTCGGGAAATGTATGGAGGGAATAAAATGACCGACCGCACTAACTGAGATAGCCGAATAAGGTTCCATGCGAATGGGCCCTGTGGTCGGTCCTGGCATAAGGGAATAAAATACACAAAAGCCTCTAGCTATAGAGGCTAGGGAGGGTTCGCCTGAATCCCCTCGTTCGGTATTTTCTATCTACCGAACGAGGGGCCGTTCGGTAGTTTGGAACCGAACGGACCAGGGCTGTGGAGGTCTCAGCGGTGTTCGCCTACTCGAGTGTCCGATTTTAGTTCCAGACACTCGACGGCAAAACACCGCTGTTCGGGAGTTTTAAAATGGCCGCCGCCACGTGTTCGTTTGTCGAATGGCGGCCACCCCCGAGAACAAAGGACGGCTACTTACTGTTCAATTACCCGTTCGCAACAATGTTGCAACAGGTAATTGAGGGCACACTTCACACAGGGGAGGTCTGGTTGTTCGGTAGTTTCATTCGAATAAACTAAGGGAATGAAACTACCGAACAATCAGAGGAATACAATTCTCTTTAATACATAGAAAACACAGCAGATACACGAATGCAGGTATATACAGTATATTTGTAGGGTCGCCTGATG